AAGGAGTTAGAAGAGCCAATTATTTGCTATTACTGAAATATCACAATGGCCTGAAAGAAATATTTCCTCAGAAGCAAGAAAATTATTGTATACAATGCTTATTCCAAATTTTATTTCTCATTAGAATGTATTATTTAACTATACTACTATTTTAAGTATAACTTTTCAAAAACATGACATTGACTTGATTAAGAAATGAGAATAACGGAGAGCATTTTATCAGAACTCAAGGAAATTAGGTCTAATGTTGATGAAGAATTTCATATTTTATATTTTATTGTTGAGTCAAAAGCAGAGCTATACGTGTTTAATATTTGTCTCCCTCGATTTGTAGTAAGGCAAGCTCATCGTTAAAACATTAATATAAGATCTGTAGAAGAGTATATCTTAAATCAAGTACATTTATAACCCAAATAAATGAATTTTTAATTCATCATGCAGCACTTACTAATCTGCAAATAACTTCCACAAAAGCCTTCCTAACCTTTTTCAGATGGTGATAGAAAAAAAAATATTTGTTAGATTTTTATTAAGTATATGTTAAAGTATCTTATGATGCCTTACTAGTTGAATAACTATGTTTATAAGATTAACTATGGTTAATATAGTCCCAAAAAATGTTATGGATGCTCTGCATTATTTCAAACACATTTTAGATTAAATTTTTAATGTATTAAAAGGGTTTATAAACTCTTCCCATTAGTAAACTAATGAGAGAACATTCTCTTTTATAAGAAGAATAACAGAGGACTGGAGAAGTACCATTTGCAGGGCACGACCCGGAATTTTTTTAAAGATTTTTTATGGCTCGGCCTAGGTTTTTTTTAAAAAAATTTCAGGCCCGGCCCGGATTTTTTTAAAATAAATTATATTTATTTTTGATTTTTATAGCTAATAATAACTATTTCAAATATAGGATGTTTTAAAAAATACAGTCCGGATTGGGTGTTTTTTTTAAATAATTTAGGCCCGGCCTAGGTTTTTTTTTAAAAAAATTTTAGGCCCGGCTTTTTTTTAAAAAATTTTTAGGCCCGACTCGGCTTTTTTTAGAAAATTTTTAGGCCCCCGGCCCGGATTTTTTTAAAATAAATTATATTTATTTTTGATTTTTATAGCTAATAATATCGATTTCAAATTAGGCTGTTTTAGGCCTGGCTTGGGTGTTTTTTTTAAAAAAATTTTGAGGCCGTCTCGGGTATATTTAAAAAAAATTAAAATACTGTCCGGCCCGGAGGCCGGGCCTGCAGGTCTCTGAAAAACATACCAAGAAGTATAACATCTGAAAGTAGATTGAAAGGTTTGGATCTTTTGAATATTCATAGGCATTTGACGACAAGCAAGGATGAGATAATTGAAAAATTAGCTCAATCACAAGGAAGATTGGATTTTACATTGTAAATGTATAACATACAAAATGCAATTATTACTAAGAAACTTTTAGTGTAAAGGCTCAAAAAATTCAAATTTCTATTTTGGGTCATTTAAGTGATTCTTTACATATAATTTTTTTATAATTCACATTAATTTAAATTGTGTATTAGAAATAGTTATTAGTCCTAATAAATTTATTGCTTGATATTTTTAAAAAACAATAATATTTCTTGAAAAATTTTATTATCCCCCCCCCCCAGACCAAATTCCTGCGTACGCGCCTGAGTTTAAATTAACCTGACATTTTATTTAAACGGAAATTAGTATGATATTATACGCTTAGATAGTGTGATGATGGTTGAACATAGGAAGGTTAGTTATTTAATTTGGATTAAACCAGTCTAAATAATTGTAAATAAATATTTATTTATCTAAAAATTATTTTTTTTTACAAAACTAATTTTTTATCCTTAAAATATTTTCATTTACTTAGTTATTATTTTAATTACCTTGAATTCATAGTGGCACTATTGCGATCGCGATTTAACAGCTGATCGATTTTTAGAAGCTGTTTGTGAGATCGATTTTTCTTTATCAAAATCATTTAGATTACTATATGAATTGAATTAAAGATTTAAATTAATATTAATAAATAATAATTGATATCATAAACACATTTTAAAAATCGATCAGCTGTTAAATCGCAATCGCGCCACTATGAATTCAAGGTTATACTTTAAATCTAGTCTTATAACATATCAAAAAAATTAATTTTATATTTAGACCCTAATTTTTTGGTGGACTATACTAAAAACTTGTTTTGGAATGTTATGTTTTAAAAAATAGAATGGGGTTCAGTTTTCCAGTGCAAGTTGGATATTGAATTTGATCAATTGATAAGGAAAAACAATTTGGTTTTTATGAATCTATTGCTAAGGAACATAAAAGCTAAATAATATATATTAAATTTATTGATTTAGGATGAATCGGATTCAATGGCGATATATTAAATCTTTAGAATATTTATATAAAAATAACATCTCAGCACTAATCTTACATCTTACTTGTAAACCTATTAAGCATTATTATGTAAAAATTAATTTTAAATTTTCCGGACTTATACCAAATAAAATTTTCGTTTAAAGCGGATATGTGTTCCTCTCATTATCTTTGTAATGCACATACGTTTAATTAAGCATGAAGCTAGTCTTTATGTGCGCACAGGTAACTGCAGCCCTTCCCCACCCCAATTGGTGGATGAGTCTTGTCATTTTAAATTAATCCCCATATCTCCTTTTACCCAGTTTGATGGGCGTGAGAAGAATTAAGCATAGCTCTGTTGTTATCAACAACACAAAAAAGCGAAGCTTAAAGAAGGAAAAATGACAAAAAATAGAATGCTTTATTTATTCAGATTGGTTTAATATAATGGATCTTATTCAAAGGTTTGAAATAAGAGTGTCCCAACTAACCTCGGTCTTCCCTAAAAATATAGAATTGGCCCAGCATGAAATTGTAATGTGAACTTGTTATATGGTGAGTTAAGGATGTGTTTGAACAGAATTTATAAATAAAAATGAATGGAAACGAATTTTGCTAATCATTGAAATTGAAAATCGTTATTTTGAAACATTTGCATTTTATTTTACTTCGGGGCCCTTTTCATTCCCAAAACAGTCTCTTAGATATGCTATTCTGTACTACGAAAAATATTTTTACAATTAATATAATTAACAAATCAAGAATATTTTCCCTCTTTGGCGGAATTTTTAAATATCATTTTAAGCTAATAAAAAGTTATTCTCCTATACTATCCCTGCTACTCTCTCCCCGAAAAACGAAAGCAATATCTCAAAGTGATAATTTTTTAAAATAATGATTAAAACTAAAATTTCTCAGAAAAATAGAATTTTAAAGAAAATAAGTGTGTGAAACCAATATTATCTGAAAAATATAACTCCGCCCACAAGACCTGTAAAAAGTAGGCCTAAAGTCCTTAATGAAGTTTATGGGGTCAGAACTCCAAAGCCCCCCTCTCCCCATTTAAAAAAAAAGAACAATATCTTATCACTTAGTATGTTTATATTGGACACCGTGTTAATAACTACTGGAAAAGCGTGAAATTAACAATTAGTTATCAAATTTCCGTAGATGCTGCTGTAAAATTATCCGGTATTTAGTTTATTTATTACCGTGTTAACTCAGGCTAATTTATATAGATAAAGGAGCTCGAGGCCAATCCCAGATGTCTTACCGATATTTTCTTTCGATTCTGTAAAAATCAGTCTGCAACCAGTTTTGATACCTGGTGCTTAAATTCCCAAATCAGATTTGGGTGGGTAAAAAAAACCCTAACAAAATTATTATATCATTGAGATACTTTGATATTTTCATGGTGATTGGGATGGGATAAATAGTAGAAAAAGATTCGAGGCAAATATTTCATTTTATCATTTATCCTTTTGAAAGTTTTGACTTCCGAGCTCAGCAATATTTTTTTTCATTTAAAAGTTAATTATTTGAATAACTTATATCAAAATTGCCTAGAAGAGTAAGGAGATATCAAAGCAAATCCAAAACCGTACGAGTTATTTTGTAATCATTATATGTCCTACTGCACATAATTAATTTCTATTCTGTTATGATTCTAATATTAAAATGTCAAATAATAAGTATAATATTGCGAATGCGAATATACATTTTTATATTTTAATTTTAAAGCTATTATAAAAAAAGGTTATAAAATATAAAAATTTTCAATATTACAATTGATCGTATTTCGTTCAAGCTTATTTAACTTCTTAAATATCTTATTACCAGGGTTTCATGTCAAGAATAAATGCATATACAGGAGTCATCCGGTAATGCTATATCATTCGTATTCATTAAAATAAATTTTTATTCATTATTTATTACAATGTAAATCGATTTTTTTGTTATCATATTTTAAAATAAAATCTATAAAATCTATATTACATATTAACTACTGAAGCCTAAATCTCGGTTTAAGAAAACGTATAAGAAGCAGATGGTTAGAAATAATAATATATGTAGTATACAAACAAAAATACATTGTTTATTATTTATTTTTTTAATCTGTTTCTTTCATATATTTATAACCGCAATTTAGTTTGATTGACTAATAAATACCGTACTATATTTTTATTATATATACTAAAAGGAGGAATCGATGTGTGAATGAAGATCGGTAGAGTTAATGCATACCTAAATGAGTTATTTGATTAAAATATATATGGTCTCACCCTCCCCCCTTCATCCCCACAATGTTAAAAATATTTAAATTATAAGTAGAGTTTATTAACAAAAAAAATCAGAAATTAAAATATATAATAATAATATTAATACCATTGATTAAAAAAAATATCAAATCTTTTTTATTATCTTTCCTACAAAATTCAAAATAAATAGATCGATCATAAATATAAAATACTACTAATACTATAATAAATATTTAATATTTTTTTAACCAACTCTATTAATTCTTATTAATGTTATTTTTTGAAATATTTTAAAAAGATTTTGAAAAATATGTAAATTTATTTATTATTTATTATTTATTATAAATTTTAAATTAAATATTTATATATTTATATATTTTATTTAATAAACACGCCTAAATAAATAGTAAAACTAATATAATATTATCGTTTATTTTAACCAAAACCTGAATTTCTTTTGAAAATATCCTTATTTATCGGGTAAAATTCATTGTTTGTATTTAAATTTATATTTTAAAAAAATGACAATAGCTTATAAAACATTTTTAAAATGATCTTTTTTTCGGAAGAAAGTTCAAATAAAATGAAACCTATTAATTCATATCATATTTTAACCCTCGAAAACACATTGTGGGGAAAAGAGGGGGGTAGTTTTATGATCATCCCCAAAGAATTTTAAAATGTGATTACTTAAAATCTTTTAGGTCGGATTTTTCAATAGTTTTATAATTATATGTGAAATTTTGCAAAATAATTTTTGCGTCTACTTAGTAGTTGTCATTTATAACTGATTTTCTGGCGCTTGGGGTGACTATATCACTTAATAATTCCTGTAACTTTTTTTTCATATATTTTAACCTTTAAGCATTGGTATTAGTGATCTGCATCGGGCCTAATTTTTTAAGCCCGGCCCGAAATTTTGTTTGAAAAAGTTTTGCCGGCCCGAACCCCAAATTTTTTTAAAAAGATTTCCCGGCCCGAACCCGAATTTTTTTTAAAAAAAATTTACCAGCCCGGCCCGACCCAAATTTATTTAAATATAGAAATTAATTTTTATAATTACTCAAAATAAAAGACATATGTTATATGGCGTTTAGTCTCAATAAATAAAATCAAAAATTTTTATTTTACTTAAAAAATTCAATATAAAATTGATAAATTTAGATATATTTAAAAAATTTCCAAGGTCCGACCCGACCCGGCCAAAATTTATTTAAAAATATTAGGTCCGACCCGGCCCGAACCCTTTAAATAGAATTGGCCCCGAGCCCGGGCCTTATTTTGCAGATCTCTAATTGGTATATTAACTAAAAAAACCTTTCAATTAGTAATTATAAATAATAACCCTAAACGAATATTCTATATCATTAATTTCATTAATCTTTTAAATCATATTATGATGGCATTTAAAATAATGAGCCAGTTTTACGAATTTTTTTATCACTTATATAGTTATTTAATATAATTTTTTAAATATAAAAGCTTTAAATTAATTTAATCGGAGATATAGTATTGTTTTTAAGAACCCCTCCTTGCTTCTCCATTAATTTATTTTCCACCATGACTATGGATAGTTAAGTCCGTCCAAGCTTTTAAAAATTTTGCCTTAGAGCCGGCTCCGGGCTGGAATATCTCTGATAAAAGTCATATTCTAAATAGTTAACCCCCCCCCTGATGGGTAAATCTTAAAGGATATTTCATAAGATAATTATTCGGAGATATAGTATAATCTAATTTTATTTTGAATTCCTATGAACCCCACCTTGCTTCTCATTTAATTTTTTCCTACCTGGACTATGGATAGCTAATTCTGTCCATGATTTTAAAATTATACCAATTTAGAGCTTGCTCTTAGGTCTCTTAGTCATAATTCTAAATAGTTAATCCCCCCCCCCCTTCTTTATTTTTTAATAAGATAATCTAAAAATAATAATAATTTTACTTTTTATAATAACTATTATTTTAAAAACGACATTTATAATCTCTAACATAACGCAAATAAAATAAATTGATTTAATTTTTCTTGATGTATGTTTTTAACGTTCGGAAGAATTCCCAAATCACTGGACAGGACAGGGCAGGGAACATACATTATATTAAAGTTATTATTATGTGGATTAAATTTTGATTGCTATTTTTTATTTGAAAAATTATTTTGTAATTATTATAGAAACGTTTTCTTCCTTTGGTGATATTTATTTATAAATATCCCCATTAAATTAAATATAATGAATAAAATATTCTTAATCCATTTGACATTATATGCATAAAGAATTGCCAGGTAAAATTATTAGATTGTGCTAGATTTTCGTAAAAATATTTTTTTGAGACTTCGCCCAAACTAATTCCTAGGCTAAAAAATAAGGATTTATTTTTCTAATATTTATTAAAATATAGGTAGAAATAAATGAAGATTGTTTTATATTGATATTTATATAAAGTAGCCAATATGTAATGGCCATTATTTATATAAAATCCCGTAATTTCATTGGTTATCAGATAAAATATAATAAATTTAAAAACAAAGGATCCAATAGAAATTAGGAATTGAATTTATTGATTTTGAAATTTTTTTGGAGGAATGTGCGAAACTTTGTGGGAGTTTTTGTGTTATATTTTGAAAATTTAAAAAAGTGGTAGAATTGAGTTGAGCTGAGTGATATATTTTAACTTTTAAAAAAGTGGTAGTCCATTAGTCAATGTGGTAGACCTTTTAACCTTGTATGCAAATGGATATAAATTCTTGATAATTAATAAAATCAAAAAATTAACTAAAAATAAGAAATGATGAAGTGCAGATTATTAAAAATGGTTTTAAAAAGATATAATATTGTCAACTTGAGAAACCAGTGGCGAAACTGGGAGGAGCAAAAATTATATTAAGTATAGAGAGGTCTCAAAGTCGAAGAAGAGAGTTTAGCCCGCCCCTTCATGTTTTAATTTTTTAACCCCCTATATTTGCCCAAGCTTTTTAAACTCCCGCTCTCTTGTTTAAAAATTTTGTTACAGCTTGCTTGATGTTAAAAAAGTTATAATATTGATTGGTTCTATATTATTACATAAAATATACAATATTTATTAATTTAAATATTAGTCAGGTTTCCTATCCCGCCCGTAATATTTCAACCACTGAAGATTTGAAATAACACAATCAATATCAACATTTTTCTTTAATATTTAATTTATCTCAAATAAGATTAATAATTTGCTATATCTTTTTAAATAATGTTGAATTTATTTTTTATAAAATAAAATTCTAGGATAAGTGAGCGTAGAATACACTTTTAGCTATTATTACTCTTCATCAGTACAAATTATAAATGAACTTTTTTACATGTCATTTTAAACCTAGCTTTATTAATTAAAAATATCTATCATAATATTTAAAACACTATATAATTAAAACACTATTAAAATAAATACACAATTTCATAATTATGTTCCCTAAAAAGAACCCTAATTATATCTAAAAATTTATAATTGAATATTTTGACGTATATATATAAAATCTTTGGGTTCTTTTGTAAAATGCTGGATCTTGTTGCCAAGATTTTTAAAACTAACAGGTTAATGGCGATAAATGGTCTTTTGTGGATGTGACTATTGGAATAAAAAGGAAGTTGTGAAGATTTTTGTATTTATTGATCCTTTTTTTCTGCTTGGGTTAGCGGATTGATATTGATGTTTGAGGGTAATGAAGAAATGCATTTGTAGTTCCATATTAGTGATTTGTCGGGGGCCCAAGGTATAGTTGTCATACCATCAGTTCTTAAGTCATCTACGTGAGATAAATTTAATTTGTGGGCTCAAAATGGTTCTGAATGTGGCTGCTGCTGGATATATTTCATGATTTAGTGCTGTGAGGCGCTGGTGTTGCCTTTATACAATCGAGGCTGTGCCTACCCTTTGAATCAACCTATGATTTGCATTTGATACTAGAATATGTCTGTACGATTCACAACCTAGATGTAAACCAATGCCAGCTCTTACTAGTTCGTCTGATAAAAGATTATCAAGGTTACGACTGGGAGGGATTTTAATAATTCATGACCACCAAGTCTATCAGCTGATTAAAGGAGTTGAATGCTATCTAAAGGTGGATTGACTGATATATCGGTTTGGTATTTATGGACCTTTTCAAATTCTGTCCCAAAAAGGCATACAACATGGGGATCCATGAAGACCACTTCTTTTTTGCTTCGAAATCCATCATCTCATTTATCAAATTAAACAAAATTTTAACCTAAACTTTAATCTGTGGGACCATCTGCGACCCCTCAGCTAATGTACTTAGCGCTTTAAAATACTTGGAAACCAATTCCCAAGCTATCGGCCTTACACTTAACATAAATAATGAATTATGTTTTTTAAACAATAAGTCACCAAATTAGGAAGGCTATTAAAATCATTGTCCCCTATAGTTTAAAACTAATAGGATCCCCATTATCGAATGCTACCAATTCAAAGATTTCCTTCATACCATTTTTAAAATCTTTTATAGCATGGAGTACATTCTATGCCATCTACCGGCACAACAAAGTTTATTTATAATACGCAAATGCCTATATATACCAAAATTTTAGCACATTTTCCGATCATCATCTTTTTTTTAAAAACAACGTATTCATATCAAAAATTCAGGATAAATTTAAAAAATTTCTAGAAAAAATTTTAAACATAAACTTAAACTATTTAATTGGTCACTCGCCCACTTACCTTCTAAATTAGGCGGTTTATACTTTTTGCCACTCAATCTTTTATCCTTATCATCATTTTTATATCCAGATTAACAAACATTTTTATTTCAGGGTTCATATGCCCTACCGTTCGTTTATTAGATGACGTAATTAACAAATGGAAGGCTAATATACCCATTAATACTCAAATACCATCAATCATCACACACAAAAAAATTTTCACATTTTTAACTTCGAAATACAAAACTGATATATCAGTCAATTCACCTGTAGATTGCATTCAACTCCTTCAATCATCTGATAGACTTGGTGATTATGAATGGTTAGAATCAGTCCCTATTCGTAACCTTGGTAATCATTTATCAGATGGACAACTGAGAGTTCCCTTTGGTTTATGTCTAGGTTGTTCGTACATCCTCATACTTGCATCAAATGCAAATCACCTGTCGATTCAAAGGGCAGGCAGGGTCTTATTTGTATATTTAGTCAAGGGCGACACCAACACCACACAGCAATAAACTATGTAATAAATCGAGGTTTAGCAGCTGCCCACATTCTGAACTATCTTGAACCCACAAATTTATCTCAAGTAGATGGCTTATGACCTGATGGTATGACAACCATTAGGGCCCTCGGAAAATAACTAATATGATTACACATGCGTCTCTTCATTCCCCTCAAACTTAAACATCATTCAACTAATAAAGGCAGAAACTAAAAAGATTAACAAATACAAAAATTTTAGCAACTATATATTCACTTCATTAGTGACTTCCACAAACG